ATCTTATTCAAATATCAGAGTTATTTTTATCTTCTAGTCATAATGATTGTTTTCCTGTACTTGCAGCTATCCTTGGAATGTACACGCTGATGAGCAACAAGCAGTACTACGATGCTCTGGGATGCACGGGCACCATCGCCAACACAGAGGGCATCAACAGTACGTATGACATCATTACAATGACACTTATAGCGTTTTTTAGTTGGTAATCAGATTTTTTATCTTGTTTACATATTCGTTTGATTCATTATTTCCTTATTTCAATCATTATTTTGCTTATTTTAGACTGTATTTTATTCTTGTACAGCTGTTTTGTGTTAAAACAAAATGTACTAATTTACTACTGATACATCTGAGAAGTTATTTATATTATTAGTCATTTATAAGTAAGATATTGGTATCAAACATTTCAAATTATTGTGCCTTAAATGTGCTGAACAGGAACTGATTGGAAGTTGCTTTGTAAACTATGTTATTTTTGACAAGTCAAAGATTGAAATAGGATAATTCTTCATTGCTCAACACCAGTGTAGAATTTGAAATGAAGCCTTTTAAGTGTTCAACTCAATTACAGACCCATTTCAATCCATGTTAAGATATTTCCTTGTGAATACAATATAGTGTATGTCACTAAGCTGTGATGTTGTGCCTCTTACAGGTGTAGTAAAACCAGATCCATTCAAGATCTTCCCTGACGAGCTGCCCAACCCCACCAACGTGGAGGAAACCCTCGAGAGAATCCACAACAACGACAGCGGCCTGACTGAAGTCAACCTCAACAACATCAAGGTCAGCTGGACAGGAAACACTGTCATGTTAACAGGTTTCTGGAAAGCTTCAAGTTAACAAAGTGTTGCTTCAGTTCATCAGAATACAAATATCAGCTTCTGCATTAAAGTGAACCTGCAGCCAAACATTTCCCCAATTCCCAGCCTACATAGTTTCACTTTTTGCTGCTCACAATCTCTCTGAAAGTGGCTCTCACCATCTGCAGCGACAACACTACACCATCCTAATATTCACAGTGGGGGTTGATCAGCTCTATTATCTGCTGTATTGATCAGTTGAGAGTGTAAATCTTCCACATCTGTAAGCCTCAGCCGTGCTCGGTTAATAACCCAGGCACATAAATGTGACGTCCCTCTGTCTGTGCTGCAGGACATTCCCATCCCAACACTGAAAGAGATCTTTGAGGCGATGAAGGGAAACTCTCACGTGGAGTTTCTGAGCATTGCTGCGACCCGTAGCAACGACCCTGTGGCCTATGTGAGTACAATATGAAACGACAAAGATTTTTCAGTGCAACAGGACAGATGACAAATGACAGAGTCGCTGATACATAGCGATACATGGTCATAGTCATACATAGAGCTGATACTTTCTCTGCCATTTATTTAGTTCCCTTAAATAAGTATGCCATTGCCAATAGTGAAGTTTAAGTAAGAATCTGATTTCATATTTAGTATATTTTGGGTATTGAATCCTATCCATCCTAAAAAAAAAAGACTGACTTGTGGTGTCATAGTATCAGGATGTAATGTTTCTGATAAAAGCACTTTAAAACGATTTTCTTTGTTTTATTAATTTTCCACGCCATCCACACAAGGTGATGTCATATTTTACATCAAGGATATCACCAAGTCAGCAGCTTTTTTATGGCCTCTGTTTCCACTTAAGCATTGTTTATTGATGACATACAATTTAAAATAGTTTTTTTGTATTGAATAAGCAGTGTGTAATGTTTGATTCTATGACAATTGATCCTAATTTAACCTAAATTAAAAGATTCCAGAGTTCTCTACAAAGGAGGACTGTGCATTGAACAATCCTAGTTAGTGCATCCATGTGTTTGTGTGCACCAGGCATGTGCTGAGATGCTGCAGGAGAACACCAGCTTGCAGAGTCTTAATATCGAGTCAAACTTCATCACTTCAGACGGCATGATGGCGATCATCAAAGCTATGGCCAATAATGCCACGCTGGTGGAGCTCAAGATTGACAACCAGGTCTGAAACACGTCGCTGAACCCGAGTGACTGATGGGCAACACATAAGCAATAAACACGAGGAATCGGATTGTGTGATTTGAGTTGTAACACTTGTAATCCCGTACCATACAGAGGCAGAAGTTGGGAGACTCAGTTGAGATGGAGATCGCCTCCATGTTGGAGAACAACTCCAGCATCCTCAAGTTCGGCTACCACTTCACCCAGCAGGGCCCGCGCGCCAGAGCTGCCATGGCCATCACGCGAAACAACGACATGAGTGAGAAACGCTCTGACTGCACGCTCAGAAAATCCTTTTAAATGTCCATGTGTTAAGATTGGAGGAAATATTTAAGCCGCATTAGGCACGATTAGTGTGTAATATCCAGCTGAAATCAAAATGTGTAGAAGAGTGGCTGCCACTTTGAGCCACCGATGTGCGAAGACTCATTTGGGCTTAATTTTGAGGGCTAATAAACGTATCTTTATCCACCGTCTTTGTGACTGATTACTCTAATGGTGTGCCATATTTTTAATAATCACATCTTTCTTTCTTCCCTCTGCAGTTCGCCAGCAGAGATTAAGATGAAAGCAACAAGGAGCAAACAGAAGAACAACCACTTCAGCCCCTTGGAGCCTGCAAACAGACGGCCACCGACAGCCTAGTGCCTGCTTTCTCGATGCGATGCGCCAGAGCTCAAACCCTCCCAAATTAAGCTTGCACTGTGCAACCCACCCAATCATTTCATTTCATTTACCGCAGCCAGCCTTTTGTAGACTGCTGAATTCATCATAAAGGCATGTATAGGTCACAAGCAAAATGTGAAGTGTCTTTTTTTTTTGTGCTTTTAGTTTGTGCATCGCCAACATCATCCCACACAAAATTTCATTCATGAAAACATTTTCAATGTGGTGCTATCTGTGGGAAGAAAACAAACTGTAAATACTTTAAATAAAAATATATATTCAACTATTTTTTGTAAATGTTTGGCAAGTTTAATTGTATTGTTTCTACACTGTATCTGGACATATGGAGTATTTTATATTGGATATATGAATATTATTCTCAACAAATATTGGTTTAAACGCACATCGTTTGCTACATTTCAAGTATCTACAGATGAAACTGGACAGAATTGTTTTGTAAAAGCTCAAATGAACCTTTAATTGTGTCATATTAATCCGTATTGGATCCAGGGACAGTGCATATACCGGATTTCAACCCAAAAAGAGATGTTCTAACAAACGTCAGCATTTCTGCAGCAAGACGGTGAACATTAAGTGAAAATCTACCCGCAAGACTGACATATACTGCAGAATTTTACAGATGGGTCCTTCGTGTGAAGAATCACTGTGCTTTAATCCCTTAAAGTCTCCCCTGATCCTCTGACTTCCCTCAGGCACCTGAGCTATTTTTACCCCCCGAACCCTGGTGGGAAACATAACCTAGTCCACTGGGCTTGAGTTACCTTGTTCCAAATATAAGAACCAACTTTAAGAGGGTTGCACCCGTGTGCACCCACAGAGATTTATGAACAGAAACAGCTGCTAACCTCTGAGGATTTTGACAACATTGCTGGGGTTCCTACACCACCCCCCATTTCTTTAACCAGTTTCCTCATTTCTTAAAAGGGCTCTGACTTAATGTCAAGTCTGACATAATCATCAAGAAATAAGCAGTAATCTGATTTTTAGACTTCTCAAAGGTCACATTTTTTGAAGTCATACAGGCGTCTGTGACATTTGTCATCTTAAAATGATTTAAAGTCAGATTTGCCTCGACACAGTCTATTCTGAGGGTTTCTCCTCCCTTTGATCGCTGTTTCACAGTAAAACACAGGTGGTGTATTTTTGGATTGCAATGCTGGGTGCCATGAATGCTGTGACAAACGTATTTAGCATATTGTGTTTCATTTGTTGGTTTTTTTTTCTGGGTTATATTTGCGTCAGACGACAGTGTAAGTTGTAATGCTGAAAGGTCAAACATGATATTAAAGGTCAGAATTTAAATATTGATGCATTTGTCTCCAAAGCATTTTCACAAGCGTTTACATGTCACACTGCCAAGTCTCCACAACAACTGAGAACATATTAAGTGCCTCTCCATGTGGTGGTGATGCTCTGTGCTCACAATTAATGAAGCGAGTGTGCTTTCCACACATATTATCGGTGTCATCAGAAACTAACCCATGTTAAGTCCCTCTGCCGCCCCCCCGCTGACCCTGATGGTGTTATCCAATTTATAGCAACAGTGCTGAACGAACACCCAGCGAAGAACGCTAACCGGTGGCTTCTCTACCCAGATTAGCACCAATGCAGCCTATCTGCTGCTGATTTGGAGCGAAGCTGCCTGAGGATTAGTCCTACCAGAGAGGAGACGTAACTCTGTTGAAAGAGTAAAACAGATGATGGTGAAATAGTCTCACTCATTGTGTAGGTTACCAGAAACCTTCAGCTGAAAAATCAACTGCTCAGGGCCGTTCTTCTGATCCTGAAGGGTCCATGAACGCCCTAAGACTGATGTTTATGAGGATAACACGGTCCAGTCAGTTTGTAAAGTACTCACCAAGTTAATATTAAGAGCTGAGAACATGGTAGTATCTTTAAAAGAAGTGACGACAAGAAACACGTGCAGTCAGACTGTAAACAGCTTAGCTAAACGTATTTAAATTATGACACCCATTCACAGTTTACAGACTGACTGATTCAATTATGACCTTTTGTACTTTCCATACTTATGCTTGCACAGTTTTCCTGTACTATGAGTGATCATTACTGACATTTTTATCCCAATTTATGGCCAAAACACTGAAAATAAGGCCCAATTAGTAATAAACCTGATTTATGTTTTAATGTCTTTCCGACATTAGGACACAACCATGGTTGGAGCTTTTCTGAGGGGCCCCTAAGAAAAATACCCCGCCACAAGAGCCTTGGTCAAACCTGGTATTGTCTATTAAATTCCTTAGGTTTTAAAGTCTGCTTGATGTTCCATGTAGCAACAGAAACAGTAACAAACAGGAAGTGACATTTATTGTTAAGTCTGATTCTGTGAATCATATGTGATGAGATAAAAGCATTAAAAGTTGCAGCTGATGGTCACCGGTGAGTCCGAGGATTACACGGGCGCTGTAGAATCAGCACAGAAAACCATGGGATTCAATAAAAGTGCACAAAGCGCTCCGGCTAAATGTACCACTTTTAATCTGTGTTTTCCCACAGTTCTTAGTCCTCTCAGTGACTTGTAGGTAGAGGGGGAGGCGAAGGAGGCTCCTCGTCATCTGAATCAAACTCCACGTTCTCGTCTTTAACCCACTTGCCGCTCCGGTCTTGCAACCACCCCTCACTGAGAAACAGACAAAAGCAGGATGAAATGCACGGAGGCTGGCACAGATACCCTGAACTGACATCCAGCAGTAAGAATGTGCAACTTCAGGCACTAAATGTTCAGCCTCAGATTAAACATGGTTCTCTACCTTTTGAGTTTGAGGTAGTGCTCCAGCTCTCTCCTCCTCTGGGCTGTTATAGGCTCCGCCTCCTGTGTCACTGCAGCCTGAGCTCCTTTTATGTCCTCTGATGGATGGGACCCTTTAGCTACACAAGACAAAACATGTCTACGATTAAAGCACATTCAGGCCAGGTTTTCTTCAACACAATATCTGCAAATAAAGGATTTCCTCTGACAGACTTTACCTGTTGTGCAGCCACTAGAGCTTTGTAATGAACTGTGAGAACCTTCAGTTTTCTGACTTGCTTCTTCTTGTTCTGATGCTGTGCAGCTGGAAGTGTTGTCACTGGGATCTGAGCCGATGCTCTGTGGTCCTTTTTCAGATTTTGTACTAAAAGAATAATCACGGATTTATGTTTTCATGTATTCCTTTTCTGTGATTTAATATATATATATATATATGTGGGACAGTGTATATTAAATAACCATCTCACACACCTGGTTTTTCTGTGGCAGCTGTTGTATGGCACAGTCTTTAATAAAGCGTGATGTGTAAGCATCCGTGTTTGTGCCAGTAAAGGGGCTGAACAGGAGGGTTCCTAAAGATGAAACAAAGTGTGTGTTAAATGCCACAGAGCGAGCTCAGAAGTGTCGTTTGTCTTTTCCACATCCGACGACAACTTGTAAATAAATTGGTTGGCAGGATTCATTTGCAAGGGTCATATGTTAGTCACAAGACACGAGACAAAAACATGGATTAACACTCCAACCAGACAAAGAAAGATTGTTCAGCTCATATTGTTATTCTCCAGCGATGATTCACGGACATTCTGCATGTTGAATGATCGGCTGACTCGACGACACGTACCAAGATATTCTGAAAAGTTTGTTTTGGAGTCGACTGAACAGCAACTTGACAGAGCGAACACACACACCGTACGCTCACAGCCGTTATAAATACAAACCTGTCTTGTGTCTTCAGCCTGGACGTAATTTTCATGTTTTCTTTTTGTTATTTCATTCCTCAACCTTGCTTTCTTGCCATAGAATGCTTTCAATCCTGGAGAAACACAACAAAATAATGTTTATTGTATAAGCCATTACAATTACTTTAAGATGTTATATTACACCACTGTGGGAAAGTGGACAGCTTTACGACAATATTGGACTTTTATATGATTTTTTTGCATCATTGTAATAAAATTATTGAACTTTTCAGGAACTTATTTGCTAAATGAGGCAAAAACAAACATTCCTGTCTGGTTATTTTATACATAATTAGCCTCTTAATTGATTCAGTTTGTGATAGACTCCTGTGATAGAAGCCTTTATCCATAACTGTCTAACCAGAGATGTATACAAGACATACAGATACAAATATTACCCTTTTGTAAGTATCCCAGAATACAGAATAACTAAACATCCTAAATAAGAGTCTCACCTTCCAGATGCCTTTTCCCATTCCTGTGGACTGTCAGTGTATCCACTGTGTCAAACATCGGACAGTAGGAGCACACAAGGCAAGCGTACCTAGAAACAGCACGAACAACAGGTTACACCTCCCTGTGTGTGTGTGTGTGTGTGTGTTTAACAGTCTTTAACTATTACATCGAGCACCGAGATCTTCTTTCACCTTCCGTTTTTCACGAGAGTCGCTTCATCCTCTGGGATAAAGTGAGACAGAAGATCCGCCACACGCCGTTTCTGAAACAAGAAGAGTGGGTTCGTTCATCTTCCGACACAACGACGTGAGCTCATAAATCTCTTCTAGAACAAACTAAATATTAACGCGTTACCTTCAGGATGTTCAACTGACTCCTGTCGTCACCTTCCCTTTTAAAAGACATGTTTATTTCGTTATTAATCTGGAAACAGCTGTCGGTAACCGGTTAGCTAACGTTAACTAGCTACTTCACAACGTCCTGGTAGCGGTGCTACGTTCCCGCTCATACGGTAAAATCGGAAATACGAGTTTCATATGTGGAAATAACGCTCAGCTCAGTTTTCACGCGGTAAATTGCTTTGAACCGAGAGTCTCACCATAACCTCTAACTACTCCTCGTTTCTCTTAAATTGGAGACTTCACATAACCACGACAACACCGTGACTATGCATCTGCAAGTGGATTCACGCTGTTTAAAACCCTAGACGGCATCCGCGGCTTCAATTCCTCACTCCTGTTTTCCCCAATCGTAGTGAACGCAGCGCTTGTGACCCGCAAGCGCGGCAGTCATGGCAACGAGCGGCAGCTGACGACCGGAAGCATGAACACAATAACAACTCTGTCAGCAACGTTTCTGCCGCTTGTTTGAGAGACAAGGTAGGTTAAACTACCGGCCAGTGTGTCGTTGTCCTGAGGTAAAGACACCAGGAGGGACGGGTCAGCGTTAATCAGCCGAGTTAGCTGTTCTGCTAACTAAGCTGCTAGTCACTTTAAACGTGTGTTTGACGCCAGGGCTTCGGGAGTTGTAGTCTCATGATGTGAACGACGTTTTAAAGTTATCTGGTGGGAAAAAAAACGGGATTTACCGCCGTGTTGCTCGGTTGGCCAACTCAACGCCAGTCGCGGGTATGTCCGGGGAGCGAGCCCCTTGGCCAGCCGGGGGGAAGGGCCTTCTCCGCGGGGGCCGTACGAGGTCATACGGCAGCTTGGTCCGGTCTCCTCTCTCTCCGGTCCGCCAGAGACGCATTGAACACAAAATACAGCCAGGAGAAACTCTTCAAGGCCTGGCCCTGAAATATGGAGTGTCTGTAAGTATTAATTACTCCTCAAACTATACATTACCAGCCTGTAATTTATTATATATTCAGTTTTAAACCCAAAGCCTACATGTATATACATTTTCTTCTTGTTGCCTTCTTGTTGTATGTTTATTTGTTTGTGCACCAGTGTTTTTAAATGTTATTTTCTATTGTACTGCAGTCACATAGTTGTTGAACTGTACTATTGTATATTATTTAGCTTGAGTTGCAAAGAAACATTCATAGCTGCAACCCTGGAGGTCTGCTTGCTTTATAGTTAATAATCAGTTAATGACACACATACATGAATAATTGTCTAATTTTACACATGATCCATGATGATAAATAGAAAGCATGGCAAAAGGAGCATATTGTCAGTATTTTAGTATTAGTATTATCAGAGACCCCCCCCCAAAATTTAACAAAAAATAAAAACAATGAAGATATAATGATGTGCTGAATCTTCAAAAGCATAAATCACAAGTAGGACAGCGCTTTAATTAAATCATTTATTCAGTTGTTACCAATTTGCATGCTGAAAGTCATCTGCCTGAAACATCCATGCATGAATGAACAATTTAATTAGAGTGCTCATGATTTTAGTGAAAGAAAGGAACCATTATCAAGCAGTTTTTCCAGAATTAATTGAGACTAACTTTAGTTTAAGCTCAGTTTGGAAAAAAAAAAAGCCTGATGAGGTCATTTTTTCTTTCAGATGGAACAAATCAAAAGAGCAAACAGGATGTACACCAACGACTCGATATTCCTGAAGAAGTCCCTGTCAATCCCTGTGATATCAGACTCGGACCACTGCAGTAACGGGGTGGATCTGGTTTTAGAGGACAGTGAAGAAGACAATGCAGGCTTTGCTACTGACCAGAATGGGCACACAGGGAACTCCTCTGAGAAGACACAAGATGGTGGCAAAGAACGGGCGTCAGACCTCACTCCAGTAGATTTTTTGAAAAGGTTGGATGGCTTGATAAACCAGTCCAAGCAGGCTGCTGTTAAAGGATGCCAGGAAGCAGAGAAAAGGTATGTCTGCATAGCTCTCGCTGTTTGCTTGTATACACTGGTCACAGTCATGCTCCATGTTTGTGGTGTGACCGACGCCTCAAGTCTGGCCACGTTAGTAGCCTCTGTGCTACAGTTTGAAATTGTTAACATATTTCATATATACACATCCTGCTATCACTACATATGCCTATACATACCTTCTTATCTCCTACAAATTATGTTCTCATGCAGTTTGCATTACAAAAATAAATGTTTTGGGGGAGTGTAATGACCCAGGTTCAAGTTCATATTGAACATTGTATATTTAAAATGTCCACCGATAATGCATGCAAATACTGCAGTCATGGCCAAATCTATTCATTTTGGTGCTGCTTTATGGAATGAGGTGCTACATGACCCTTACACTTAATACACCTGTCCATCTCCCTGACCTCCCAGTTGAACATAACATGGTCAATAGATACCAGCTGCACATGAATGTAATGAATGAATGACATATACTCTCATTGCAAGAGATCTAAATGTCCCTGAAAGCTGTCAAAGAGGAATGCAGGCTAATTGTGGGAATATCAGTGCAGACTTACTGTATCTTTTTTATCTGTTTATTATTCACAGGGTTGCCGCGCTAGAAGCAGCGTGCACCAGCAGGACATCAGACTGGCGTCCGCTCACGAGGTCGCAGAGTGTCACTTCATCTTCCAGAATGCAACAGCAGCAGGCAGCACACGGAGCAGTACCCCTAACTATCACCAAACTCACCAAGAAACTGAGAGACCGGGAAGATGAGATCTTCCAGCTGTGACATGTTGATTCTGCTGCCTCACTCTGATCATTAAACAAACTTTACCAGAAAGCCAGATCGCAGGGTTTGGCCTCCAGGATTAATAGAGCATTACAGATAAAGCAACAGATCTCCAGTGATCCCCCTGCTGCTGCTTCGACTTGGAGCTTAAAAGTCGTTTCACATTTAATATAGACTTTATAATGGGAAGTTACAGTCTTTTAACAGGTTTTTAAAAGGAATATTGCACTTGTGTAGCCTTCTTATTTATTTGTTGAGACATAATGTAGACCATGAAGAGCTTCATATTCTCCCATAGCAATCTTCGGTTTGTTTTCACACACAGGAGATAAGAGCGTGAAATGTTAAAAATGAGAATTCGCAGTCACATGCTGGTTTAGTCACATGACTCTTCGTATGGTGAACTCAACGAGTGGTTTGTGTGTCATGCTACCTCACAGCCTGCTAATGCAAAGTAGGCCAAGTTTTCTGACCAAACGTTTTAGCCGTGGTATGTAAGGTATATAAATCATGTTCATTGTAATATTTAGAGCTCAAAATTGCCCACGAATTCTGTTACTCTGTCTGTTACTGCTGAAGTATTTAAACTTTAATGTAGCCAACGTTTAAAAAAGAGACATGCCTTTTAGAATATTTTGACAGCAATCTTTTTATTATTTTGTTATGGGCATATTTTTATGTAATACATTTTAGAATAAAAAAAATGATTTATTTCATCAGGTTCATATGTTTGTCCACACTTCGTCTTCCAGGGCTGGACTCATCTTATAAAAGCACCTCCAGAAACAGTTGACTGTCATTAGCACTTGATCTTTACATTTCTGTAATTTCACAGTTCAACTGACTTTTCTCCACTTTGCACAAAGAAGATCATATTTTAGCAGTTAAATGCTAAATTACCATATTTGACTATTATATAGGGTGAGCCTGATTTTTCCCTTGCCCGTTAAGATTCAGTGTCTTTGTAATGTAAAACCAAAGAATAACACCTGTGATTCAATCTTCAGAAAAACATGAATTATCGGATTAACATTCAAGCTCATGCAGTCAACAGCATTTTTAAGAGTCAGTCTTTTTGTTGATGCTCCTAAACATGTTTTGAAGCCAAGACTGCAAAGTGTTGGTGTAAGTAATTGTCCACTGTGGGGTTATTTGCTTTATTATTGGCTGCATTGTCTTCCGAACGCCTCAGTAAATACAGTACATTGTGTTGTTGGAGTATCATCTTTGACCACCAGATGGCAGTGCTGTATTACAGTGGCATCATTCCCTGCCTTCACTCTTTATGCAAGCTGTCCAGCTGTTTTGACTCCTCCTCTCCTGAATACACAACATCAGTAGTTCTGAATGAAACATTTCAAGGTCTCAAATATTAAACATCGGATGACGTTTCGTAATCGAATAAAACGGCTGATATAGTAGAAACCAGTTTCTATTCAAGTTTGGTTTCTGTGAACTCTGACTAGAAAAGTATATATCACAATTTTACAGTGTGTGTATATATATATATATATATAACCTCTAAACATTAAAAACTTGAGGAGTGACTCAACCGACTTTATTTTTTATCCCACATGTTAACAACGATGGGGCAGCGGTTTTGGTCTCAAATCACTTGTCTTACGTTGCCAGTCCTCTGCAGCAGTAAGAACAATTCGGACAGTCTTAAGTGAGTCTGCCTGTAGATCTCCCAGTGTCTGACTGACATTTTTATTGTTTCTATGTCATATTGTCCCCTCCTCCACCAGTTTGTTGAGTCCTTTGCAGATCTTGGTGAGGTGGGGTCGGAGGGGGCCACTGGGGTCATACAGTTTGGTCAGTAGCTCGGGGTCGGAGTAATGGTTGAAGACGTGCTTGATGCGACCATGAGATTTAGGGGTGAGATGGTTGTTGACCAGCTTCAGCAGCAGATCCCTGCAGCTGCTCAGGAGCTCCTCCATCACTGACTTGTCAAAGGTAAAGTCCACCTGCACCAGTCAAGGGAAACATAATGTCAGAAAGTTATTACTGTGAGGGTTTCATGTGTTTCTTTATCTCTAATATTTGGAATGAAAAAAGATATAATCTAACTGCGAGCAATATATAAGCAGTATATTGCTGCAAACACGTGTAGCTAGTAATGAGAGCAATGTTCTTGCAAGTGTTGTAAATATAAAATCTATGTGGTACGAGTCTATTTATGTTCTGTCACATGTTATGAAAGCAGAGATGCAAACACATCAAATTAAGGTCACTGAGCGTGTAGTTGCACCTAAATAAAAACAAACTCGTCGTAGCATTTTTAGGCCACATAACACATTGACTCTTGAATACAGAACAGAAAAACGATATGATAATTGCGTACTGTTTCTTTTTTTTTAGATAAACAACAAGTTCCGGCTTTCTAAAGCCTCCATATATCCTGTACATTAAAAGGTTAATATGTAGAAATGTACCTCATAGAAGCTGATAGCCGTCATGGTCCCTTGGTGCAGCTTCTTCTTAAAATCTTCAGCTATTCCCAGCTCTTCTGTGCTAAAACGGTTGTTCCTGAACAGCACGCCGACCTTTACTGCAATCTTGATCAGGTTTTTGATCACCTTCTGGGCCTCAGATTTATTACCCGAATACTCTTTGGAGACCTGGTAGAGTTCATCCAGGATCTCGCTGGTGGTGTCGTCAATGAACATTTGGACGGAGCTTTTGGTGGCCATGGTGCTGAGGATCTTCTTCTGCGCCCTCATGGCCATGTCCTTTGAGCTGAAGGCGTCCATGTTTGCCTGAATGGTCATGGAGAAGGAAAAAGTGTTTTGCATTTTTATTAATAATGTTGATGACAGATTTGTGTCAGTAGTAGTAGTAGCAGTAGTAAATGTTGCAAACTAGTAGTTTCCAACATTGGTGCGAACTATTTCATTAGGACTTCATCCAAAATCAGTTAACTGCACATAATACTGCTAATCATAGAGGCAAAAAGATGAAACACATCAAGTACAGCTTTCTCTGAGTGAATAGATTTCTCATTGGTGTGTATGAGACTGTTTTTGAACCAAAATTTGGATATGTCTTTTACTGCAGTTGGAAAATATTCTCTCCCACTGTCCATACCTTACACCAGATCACAGCTAATCCAGAGCCTCAGTCAATAAAGAATGGGAGTAAAAATCACAAGAAAACTCCAAGGCACTCTTAAACTATTAAAATGCCTTATTGTCACAGCATGGGGTTAATTAGGCAAGTTAGGCCTAAAAACAAACTCTGACACACTTAGCCTTAGCCAAGGAGTCAAAATATATCAGATGTACACTGTATACCTACCTTTAACAATAGGAAAGCCTATTGTACCAATACATATAGACGCAGCTTTAAATAAAGAGGAAGACCAACAATTTCACCCCTGGTTGCTGCTCGGCTCAACTTGAGTCTGTACTGCCAGACAATGAGCATCTTTAGTGAAGTAGTTGGAGGTTAAGTGCCATGTTCAAGGGCCAACTGTTTGTTGTTATGGAGGCTGGCGAGGGCAACACATGTTCACTTCTCCTCATCCAAATTTCCCAGATCATGTGGGGATTTAAACTGGCGACCCTCCAGCCATTAATTTGACTCTCTAACCTTCAAATTGCCACAGATCCAAACACTTGTTCACACACATCATTGAAGTACATTTCAGTGACACAACTGTTCAATTCAAGCTCAAATATTTGGACGTTCATTAAAATAAGCAGTAAACTGATATCCCCACAGTGCTAATTTAACAGACCCTGAAAATACAATGTCCAATTTGAAATGTTCGTTCCAGTGTTTGTTTTTGTATCTGACATGCACGTATGATGCCAACAGGGGAAAAGTACCATGGAAGAGACTCAACAGAGGCTTTTAATTTCTCCACTGAGATTTTAACCACACCTAGCATCCACCACAGAGAACCCCCTCCCCCACCCCTGGGGAGGTCATCAACATGCATACAGCACACAATGACACAACTGAAAAATCCACTGTTTACCTTTGATTGTCAACACAGTTTGAATTAATTCCCTTTTAATTACATTTAATTTTTCCCATAATCTCTATGAAAACAGGCAGATTTGAAGTGAGTCATTCACAGAGAAAAAAACTACATTGTATCTAACTGATGCTCTTATTAGGGAAGTGTACACAGACTGGGCAAACAAAATAAGGTTCAATTCCCACATCAACAAAATAACAAGGATTTAAAGGATTAGAGTAACATAACTCTTACAATTTTTGGAGCAATTATGTGTCCTTGTAGAATACTTATGCTTGATACATAAGTCCTACTTATATCTCCAATCCTACAAACACACACACAAAGAACAATTAAAGTCTTGCTTAACTCCCACTTCACCTTAATCTTAGTATTTGCGATGAGTAAGACAGAATCAACAAAGACATACAGTATCTGTTGCATGCATCAGTGCTACTGAAACTGCTCTGTATCCTCTCCTACTTCCTGTGTTCCATTTGGCCGTATATTCACTCATTTATTGGCACGGAGAGTGCAAACAGGCCTGAAATTCAAAGAACAGTTACTGAATATGTTTCAGTGTAATTTTCCCCACTAAATCCCACCTCTGGCCTGTGTGGACAAGTATTTGAGAGGAACAGGTAGTCTGCATAGCTGAGGCAGGTCCATGCGTGCTGTTTCCAGCCCTGAACGCAGTGGCTACAGTAATTACTGGCCTTGAGTCTGCCTTTGGGTAAAACAACAGCTGATCTGTTATTGAAACATTCTGTACATTAGCAACAGCATATTGTCCATAAGCTGCCAGTTAAATGACTGCCTTATGGCTGCTTTAATGTGTTTCTTTCATGCCTGTTTGTGCTTAGTAGACAGCGTTATTCGAATGATGATATTCTCATTGTCCGACTCCAGTGATGCACAGTCAGCACTGTCTGCAAACCGCTTCCACAGCTCACTAATAAATGAAAAAGTGATCCAGTAACGATCATATCATGCAAATAGGCAGCATTCGCTCTGACTCTCCCCATCCCTGGTGTGCACCCCAATCCCAGCTGCAAAATCCATAATAAGCAAACAGTCACTTTTATAGCATATCTCACTAGGTTCCATTTTACATGCACAACCATTCATTTTGAACAAGTGTCACATTTCTAATAGCTCGCTTTGTTACAAAAGCTTTGGGTTCCCTGTGGGGAATTAAAAAACATTCATTAGATTAATTTCCCTTAACGGTGATAATGGAAGTGGAGCAGCGTGATAGCTATTTCAGATTCATGCTTCAATCTCATTTATTTGCTAAAAAGACTACAGGGATTTGAGGGACATGCACAGTGTGTAGTCATCAACCAGTATTCCACATAGTGAAATGTAACTCCTCAGCTGGAGACAGCTCGCTGCTTGGCTTTTTGTGCATCTACATTGTTTATTTTATGCAGATCTGTCAGGGGGTTGAGGCCGTTTGGAGAGTGTTGAAACATTTCTGTGGTACAGCAGCACATTGCCATGAAAACACTTTTCTGTAATGGACGTCATTCACTCGGTCACATCGAGGACGCTTTCAATGTTGAGCATCAATTTTCTGGTACAGATGGATTGAAGAGGGCTTTTAAGCATCGGTTCGTTGTTGACATCCACCAGGGAGTGACTGTATTACACGTTCAAGTGTTTGTTTCCCTCCCAAATGCCTGCCTGAATTGACAAGCACCTACATACGACTGTGTGACACCTGATAATGCCGGAAGAACAAAATAAAAAAACAAGAGAGCAGAGGTAGAACTATCCCAGTAGAGACAGTTGTACTTTGAGGAATCTTTAGGTTGATGGACGGTCAAACAGAAAGTGCTGATTGGTGGAGCCATCCAGGCAGGCAGGAGAGGTAAATATTTAGCATTCCTCAGATGACTCCAGCAATGAGCCCCGGTGTTAGTGTACATGTAAAAACTTGTTTGCACGTGGATGTGGATTTTTCAGTAAAAGTGGTTTCCGGTTGTTTTTGCGTTCAGGTATTTTTGATAATTAAAGAATGTGTTGGATTTTCTGTCTGAATTTGTGTTCCTGTGTCCTGCATATATATATGTGTGTGTGTAAGTATGACCTCTGTCCTATGTCCCCTCACAGGACTCAGGGGGGGATTCCTGAAGCCCCCTTTGACTCAGACAGTCAAAATGTGCCTTGTACTGTTATTAGAGTGCAGCAGGGCCTCGCTACTATGAACTGACAGATAGACATCCTCACTGAATTTCAGTACCAGGCTTGGTGCTTGGTAGACTGAGTTGTAGCTGATGAGACCGATAGGAGGGGGGTTGGGTCTATTTTAGCTGGCCGCGGCCTTTGATCAGATTGAACAATGAGAATGTTCCAGAAAAAAAAACATAGAAAAGCCATACCACTCAATCAGATGAAAACAAGGAGGCTATTGTTGAAAGGTCATCCCTGAGCTACAAGGGTGGTTGTATTGAGCTGGTAGAAACCTTTATTTTCTCCTGCTGGACAACCAAAGAGGATTAAAAGATAACAGTGACAATACACGATCTCTGTGTCCTTAGACAGCGGCTTTCTGTGCAAGATGAGCGTTATGCCCGGATGAAGTATCACTTCCGCTGTGTGTTTTTAACTGTGGGCAGCTGCACTCAAAGTTGCATGTGTAGATCTTGTTTTTAACTTGAACTTCTTGTGTAACTTGTAACTCTTACTTCAGTGGCACATTCAATTCTTTAAGTTTGTAAGGATTGCGTTGGATTTACATTCAGTTTGCTAATTGCCTTCTGCATTTGATAAATCTTTTGTTTATACAGAAATTCCTCCACAAACGTTCTTTTAGTAATAGACGAGAAAGCATTTTGAAATCCTCAAAAGGCTCATATTGCAGTTTCTCTTTCAACATTGCTCAACTCGTCTGAGTTGCTCAACCCTAGCACCCATCTACATGCCTCAAAAGGGAAGCGAAACAGGCAGCAGTTGGCTAAACGGCGGGTAGTTATCAACAGAGGCCCACAGGTTGTGACCACCACAATGTGAGTGACATGGCAGCCTTCCCTTGTCTTTCTCTTTTTCTTAATGAGCTTCAAATCAAAGTAGGCCAGTGAAGGAGGGAAAGTCCACTGCCTCGAGATTTGAGTTGAGCAACACCTGGCGTGTGCAAACAGAAGCGGGAGCTCTACATCTGTGCATGTCACCGTACGTGTTCCAGCAAGACTGTGTATATGCATATCTCCCAACTCACACTCAAGATGGGGAAGTGGAGAGAGGTCACAAATTTGTTCCAATCATCCCTCTACTCAGTCTGTCTGGGTGCCAACAATGATTACTAATTTTTCCCAGACAAAAAAGGAGACATAACACTAATCTGGGCCCAAAGAATTTGTCTTTTTCTTTCTTTTTTACTGGCACATGAACACGGCAGAAGTGTCTTACCTGCGTGTGCTGAGTCCCCCTCCCTCCTGGTCTGTGTCAGATATCTCTCTCTCCCTCTACTCTGTGTCTCAGGTTGACAGCACAGGCCAGTTGATTTAATGAGATCCCTTCATCTTCACCACGAGCAGAACCAAAACCCAAAAAAACCAGCCCTCCTGCAGCGCTTCTGTCACTGCTGCCACCCTATCTTAAGATAATGTTGAGTTGCACTTCCTTGAGGAACTAAATTGCTATGACACACCCCTCAGCGTGTGTGTCTCTCTCTCTCTCTCTCTCCCCCTCTCTCTCTCTAGCCTCGCTCTCTCTCTCTGTCTTGTTTCCCTCTTAAATTCAAATTCAAACTCTTCGAAACTACTGTAGTTCTCTCTTCCCCTTGCTCATCACACCTTGGTGTTTTCTCTGATTCTGCCTGTCTCTCGCTCTCTCTCTGCTCTTCTCTGTGTTGCTGACGTTGTGCCTCTGCTTGTTCTGACAAGTGAAAACCCCAGAAAGAATTGAGCAATAATCCAGTGATGCAGCCAGTTGAAAAGGGAGTGGCTTAAACCTTTTTTTGTGTTCACCTTTGCTGGAATGCAGCTCCTGTCAGTGCTGCCAAGCACTGTCCCTCCCTCTGTGTCTCTTGTTCAAGGTAGAATCAAAACAACGAATAGTGAGCAGCGTGTCACAGACTGACACACACGTGCGCACACTCACAGCTCACTGACACTCCTTTGATTGAGTTTATGGACAAAACGCAACATGATGCAATTCTTTAATCCTGCTCTCTGCATTAGTGTCTCTAAAGTCTGTTTGCCTGTGTGTTATCTGCTTGTAACACTATATTTTGTTGTCCTTTTATTGTCCTCTGTTGTTTAAAGTTACAGAACAATTGAATGCGCTTAATCACATTTTTGTGTTCAAGACTAGCTTTCATTTATCATTTCTAAAAGTACTTCAATGTTGTCTGCCTTTTGTGTTTCTTTTTAGCACTTTCGATTGTGTGTATTGATTTAAATTTTGTCCTGAAGCAATAATATGTTATCCATGTGTTTTTTTTCGAAGTTGAAGTTACAAACTAAACTTGGATTTGAACTAACTGCAGATAAGACTAGCCAACTGGCTAAATCTGGCACATTGATTGATTGATAGGAGTGCACTTTGTCCCTGATAATTAATCCTGGTGACAAGTACACTTTAGAAAGTAATTCCCCCCTAGAGCGGTGAGTTTCCTTGTAGTCACAGCATAGGCTAATAAAATCTGAAGTCCAATATCACTCTGATGAATGAATCTTTGTTTGAGCTGGTTGCCATAAAACTTGTCTGCCTTGTCAAAGTCTTATTTGAGTGAGTGAAATATAAATATGAAGTTAATATAAGATATAATCAGGAGTAACCAATATTGAGCCTGCCATTGTTCACAACAGAGCAGCCAGTCTTGGCAGCTACAGCAAACATGTCCGACATGAATTCAACGATTCATTTAGAATCAGGAAGTGTCCCCTGATTCTGGAGCTGCTTGTTTATCTGTAGGTTTATCTGAATGGCAACCAGCTGTGCTGAAGTGCTGTTGGCTGAAGCACAGGCCATTCAAAAGGAGCCGTCCAATGAACTCTCGCAAATGTTAATTGTTGTCAGATGCCAGGGGTTAAAGGTGACGCAGAGACCCAGCTGGACTACGAGGAGTGCCTGGACAGGATACGAGCCCACCAGTGTGCGGTGTAGGCTGAAACACACCTGCCTCTTTGTTTTGCCTCCCACTCTGTCCTTCTGCAAGAAATTAACTCAGAGAGAAGTCATGGTAAACTTTGCAACTGCAGAATGAGGTCTGTCACCGTGGCAACAGACAGGAAGTAGTGCTTAAGCGGTTTCCTGATAGCTTCCTCTTTATCGTGTAATGACATCTCACAAGGAAACATCAGCGAGGAGCACTCAGCTGAATATCTGTGTGTGTGTGTGAGTGCAGGCTTGCATGTGTTTGTGTGTATAAGTGAGAGTAGTGCGGGTGAAGGAGCGCAGTTGTCCTGAAATGAGCTCTTACCTGTCTCACCTCCGCACTGTACACAGCTTACACACATTGCCTCTTTTGGTTATGAGATAATAAGAGGAACTTCAATTATGTCACTTATCTTTCATTAAAAGATCACATGGACCTTCAGCCACCAACCTTACACACACACATACAGTCAGCCGCATAATGGCAGTGTGTTATCACCAGATGACTAAGACAGGAATAACTGACCTCATAACCACTGAGGTCAGGGAATTGCGCCTGAAGATTCGGAGCCTGAATTGGATGGAGGATTTGGTGAGCTTAGGTGTGTTTCTACGCGCTGTCTTTCCACTCGCAGCGTTATAAGATAGATGGTGAGCACCGATCCAGATGAACAGATGCTGGTTCAGGGGAGGCCAGAGATTTAATTTGATCAGTCTTCTGCTAACAGGGATTCACTTTCCCCCCACAGCATGAGCAGATACAGAACCCTTCTATCTCACTTGTTTTTGGGTTGTTTTGTTTTTTTAAGATATGAAGAACCTCAGGGAACCAGAAAATAACTCACTCACTGTTCCCAGCCCCTGGTTTATTAGCTAGTTCACTTATTCATTAACTTGTGGTTACCCTATCACCTCCTAGTGGGTATTTCAAGGTATGGCAGTGCCTACAGATAATTCACTGTGTGTGATTCTGTTTTGTTTTGTGCTGAAATGATTGAGTTAATTAGTCATTTAACAGTTTGACGATTTGTTGAATATATGCCAAATATTTTTCTGTTTCAGTCTTTTAAATGTGAGGATATGCTACTTTTCTCTGTTTAGTTGAATAACTTTGGGTTTTGGACTGTTTGTTGCCCAACACAAGACATCTGAAGATTTCACGCTCTTGGAAATTGTGATTCTTTTCACTATTTACTGACATTTTGTTAACGAAACAATAAATAGATAAATTGAAGATATCAATACATCAAGTGACAATGGTTGAAGTGTCAAAATGTTGAGACGTTTCTGGGGATGCTGTCTATATAGCTCTATGTGGAGGTCCACCCAAGCTACAAGCCAAAAACGGGTGCATTTGGTTACACCTATAACTGTAAGGCTGATGTTTTTTCAACCACTGTAACCAGATGAGTATGAGTGTCATGACCCAACTACAAAACAATGAAAACATGACAGTTTTAGTGGCTGTACATACAGTTTTATATAAATAAATGCTATCATACAGTGGAACAAATGCAGTCAGTTACATACAGAAAGTAGAACCAGAACTCTTTAAGACAATGTTGTGAAGGTCTAGCCAAATACCTACTGAATTACCATACACCTAGTTTAAACAAAATAAAATACAACCTCTGATGATGTCTAGTCTCAGTGAATTAAATGAAGCATCCATAGAATTATTTATTTCTGTTTCTGTGGAAGCTCCCGCCTCGGTTAAAAACCATGTAAGCCCTGTCACAAAATGGCTTACTTTAATTTTCCTGTAATTTGTTGTCATTATACATTTGAACATAATTCCTGCAGCAGTAATAGCAGTGACTTCATGAATGGCTTGTAGAGCATAAAGACTCATTGTCATGGCTGTCGTTACATGTCGTACAATTCTGAAGTTCTCTGTTTCTCTGTGCATGTGCTGTTCTTGTGTAGAGGACATACTTCCTTTTTTATGAAACAGTCGACATAAGGAAGCAGTTGGCATGTTGTGTAAGTATGCAGGGTGTTGATATAAGTGATCTTAAAGAAGGTCTAGGCAAATACTTTGATGCATGAGTACAATACAAATGGACTTCGGTGGGAAAAGTGTTGGTCTTCGGTTTAATTCAATTCAATTCAATTCAGTTTTATATGTATAGCGCCAAATCATAAAATAGAGCAGGTCTAGACTGTACTCCTTATAACATTTTATTTAAGTTGCCGTATAACTCTTGTTTTACTCAAAATGTCACAAAAGTCCGGTTGGGATGACATGACATTCAGAATGCGTTAGTATGCAGATCGCTGATAACGTTGAACTGTCTGCTTTGTGTTGCCTCTGATTAAACTTCAATGATATTTTCAGCATCACACCCTCATCACATGTTGGAGTCGTATTGTAATCTCACACTACAATCGTCTGCTCACAGGATGGAGCAGGCGGCGCTGCGCATGGGCAGGTTGGTGGGCAGCTTGGCGTACTGCTGCCTGAAGCTGTTTCTCTTGTTGTTGAGTAAAGGACCCGGGTTCTCCAGCCCGTCAGCGGGCGGCAAAGACTCAGGCATTGCGTTTCCCTGGGGCACATCCAACTTGGCCCCCTTGTTGTTCTTAGTCTTTTTGGGTTTCTCCTTCTCCTGTGGCTCGGTCGAAATGGCGGGGGGTTCGTTAGCGGCCTCTGGTGGGGGCAGGGTGTCCAGGGGGAGGTCGCTAGGGCTTGGCTTCCCTTCAGCTTGCTCATCACTGCCGGTGATGTGGAGGTTGGAGGCCATGCGCTTGGCATTGGTGCTTGTGGAACTAGTGCAGTTACAAATTTGTCATTCACAAAAGACATAAAAAACATTGTCTTAAGTATTACTGTAATCATGCTGTCAGAAATTAAACAGTTTTCCGTTTGGCTCCAGGGATGATAGTTGTTTGAAGACTAGTCTCTTGGATCTGATAGGGGTTTATTCCTGCCAGTGGCTTCTCTCACAATGCAAAAATATCCGTAACAAATCATTCAGCCTAGTATTAGGTCCTTTAATCCCATTTTCTTCAAACAAGCAAATAAATCTGCCCTAGAAGTGAGTCATTATTTGTTATTTTCAGTGAAATCAATACATTTTATAATCATTTTCCAGAACAGCACTTACTGGCCCTTTTCTGTTTGGTTTCAAGATACACTGCACTGGGTACAAGTGTTTAATGAAACATAAGTTTCAAAAGGCTTGATATCAGACTATAGCAACTGTTAAAATTGGTGGTTTCTGCAGTACTGTGTCGCCTGTTTTGTCACACCGTTTTTTTTTTTTTTTTTTTTTTATGGTTTTTATTTTTGTGCCTCAGTAAACCAAGGAGTTGCACTGCCCCTTCTGAGTGAAATTTTTGTTTACGGCGGTCAGCATGAGTCCTTCCGCCAAACAAAAGCACGTAAAACTGCCTTTTAGTTTGCTTGCTGTCTGGTGCTGCAGGGGGCAACGAGCACAGCTCTGACTGAATCAACAGGGGGCATCCTGAGTCCACTCTGTGTACAGAAGAAAAGTGATTCTTTGGTGCTGACTGCTCTGCTTTTGTCTACTCACCCATTAGAGCTCTTGTCCTCAGAGTCTTTCTGTTCACTGCTGTAGCGCAGCTCTGCCGGGGTCTTGAACGATAGATCTTTCTTTCCTTTCAGCCAGTAAGTCTTCATGTAGCCTTTACCCTGGAAGATGTTAGGGAAGTAGTGTTCTGATCACAGATGTGGTATGAACATGTAATCTAAAATTTATTAATCAATATTTAAACTGGGAGGCCCCAAATATCTCAGCTATTGGTACAAGATAGTATTTTCATCAATACTAATAAACACCTCATTTTGGAATAAAGACATTCAAGTATTACAGCTATAAGACGTAAAGTATTAGTCATAATGTCCATCTCAATCAGTGGATGGTATATAAGAATTTAGCAAAAAGTATGTGTTATGGCTCACCTTTACAAAGATTTTGCCCCTTTCCTCAATGATATAGGGCTCATGTTCCAGGTGATCTTTGGTTGTCTGACTGATGTGTATCTGCATGCCCTGCTCAGACAGACGCACATACAGAAAACTACTGCTAAAGCTGAGTATTGAAATACAAGCTCCATCTGTACTGAAACCTTTTTAAATCATCACAGGGAAGTGAAAACATTTAGCTTACTGGACTCTAATATGGGAGTTCATTCAGGGTTTTCTTCCTTTATGGGCGTGCATAGGGAGGAAATTAGGCCTGCAAACTACCTCCTTTTTAATTTTCTTTTCATCACAGAACAGATTTCCCACAAAACATGACATTAACTTATATTACTGTACGTAATGAAAAGCAAATGAAGTGATTAGCCCATTCCATTAACTAAAAAGCAGCGTGCACAATGCCATCATTAGACAGAAAATGGTTTTCTATACTAATCTACATGAATTTGACTGAGGGAAATCAGGAGCGTCATTGCAGTTATTTATACTATTGCCATGGGTTATTTAGCACATTTTGCTGGGCGATGGGTTGTTAAATATGTTAGTGTAGTCACCACTCCATTGCTCTCCATCCTTGAGGCTGTGTTCACAGTGTCACCGAACAGACAGTAGCGAGGCATCTTCAGACCCACCACACCAGCCACCACCATACCTGAGTGAATACCTGAAAGAGGAAACAGTTTACAGAATCAAACAAGCTGATTTATTTATAAACTGCCTGAATCCATGTTTTATTGCAGCTATTCTCACATTTTCCTCATGGACAAAAAACTGATGTACATTTCCAGTAGTTACTTAGCTTGCACTCATCACTCAACATTTATCCAGACATTATTCCAAGGTTGTGATTTATAAGCACCCAACAGCATCGAGGGGTCAAAATTTAAAAAATGACTTAACTCAATTCTGACTGAAATTGTAGGTTTGCGTTTGTAGTGGAGATCTGTCTGTCAAGGACTACCTTTTAGCCCAATGCATGACCCTGACAGAATGAATTGTTTACAGAATTGATGGATGAATGGATGTTAAGTACAGTATTTACCTAGACTGCAACGTTATGACTTATATTTTATCAGTTACAGACCATAAAATCATAGTTTGTGCCACAGATAATGCCAGTTACCAGTGGTGGATGATAAGTGGTGCATAAGTCAGTATATTATTTATTTCTTCTTTCCTTCAAAATGTTTAGTCACAATTCATGCACCTCAGTTCCAGCGGCTTGTCTGAAGTTTACAGATGAATTCATTTGACTAAATCTTAATATAGAAATGACAAAACATGAGGTATATTGGGAAAAGCTTGTTTTTCTCCAAAGGTATCAGTGGTTAGGGTCAAACAGTGACCCCTTGTGACAATAAGGAATCAGTGTCTTGGTCTGTCTTTACCTCGGTGCTCCGGTTGAGGAAAAATCTTTCTTTTGTCCAAGATTATATTTATTCGGGTCACTTAAATATGACAGAGTGGATGAGTGGATAAAAAAAACCCAACCTGGAAATGTCTGAAATACAAGGATCAAAAAAACTGAATCCCTACCAGTTGAGAGTCAGTGATGGGTGGCTGACCCTGAGCCGTGACCTCCTGATGGCCAGCAACAGCCAAAACCCAAATCAGCAAATATCATGGCCTTATCATGGCTGACAGTTGTACTGCTCACCGACTCTGATCTGGATGTTATCTCCTGTGGACGGATCTTTAAGGTGGTCGATGGAACTCAGCATGTCCAGGGCCATGTCGCAGATATGGTGCGCGTGAAAGGTGGTCTTGTTGGGCACGCCTGCCACCACCATGTAGGCATCGCGAATTGTCTCCACCTGGATAGAAAGGAGAGTGAGGAATTTATGTTGTGATAAGAGAGTGGGTGGAACTTTTTGACTTGTTTTAATTGGGACAAGTGTCACTCCACAACCCAAATCAGTAGGAATTTTACTTTATTTCACAGTGTATTTTCCAGGTGTGTGTTTGTGTGTGTGTGTGTGTGTGTGTGTGTGCGCGCGCCGTCTTCAGACTGACACACACCAGAATGTTAACGGTAAAAAATCTGAGCTGTTGCAGCATTCCCCATGGTGTTCAAAATGCTGTTTCAGATGTTTTCCTACCTTGATAATAAACTCAGTTGGAAAATGTAAAGAAAATCATAAGCTATCATTTCACATTCAGGAAAAAAAACACCACTTAAAAAAGATACATCAAAAAAATCACAAGACATTGGAAAGTACCCGAATCACACGCAGACACGTCAGTCTGTGCTTCTCTCTTGGACTGACCTTGTAGACGTTGTGCTTCTCACTGAGTGTGTCAAAGACGATGTAGATTTCATTGAGCATGTCCACCACCTGCATGGGTGTGATGTGGATGCAGATCTCATTGAACTTGACCACGTCGCTGAACAGGATGGTCACATCTGGGAAGACCTGAGATACAAACAAAGATAAAGTTAGGATAAGCTCACAGTGTGAGCAAACACCGGTATACTCACTGGGTGCCTATACCAGGAAGAGATACTTCACAGTAGCTCAGGGTTCCTCAGTCATAGGTTACTTTAGTCATCAATTAGATTGTTATTGTTTGTGTGGATGGATATTCATTCTTAGTTTATGGTAATCTGTTTTTTGAGATTACATCCAACATGGATGTTTTGTAGCCTGCACTGTAACTGCTGCTATTTGTTCTGCTGTACATTTGCACAATAATCAGTCTGCTGCTTTTATCTATGTTTGTATCCATGTTTTATCTGTGGAGTAAATGCCATTTTGTTCTGTTGTGCATCTCTCATGTACGGTCTTGAATGAAAATAAGGTTCTATCTTTAACATCTTTGGGCCATGTTGGAAATGCACGTTCTCACTTTGACTTGGTATTTGTTGAATTTATTTGATATTTTTGTTGCATAAATAAATCAAAACTCACTACATTGTTATTGCTCAACAGTGTTCTCACTCTTCTTGTCCTGACTTGCTCAACTGCTGCAGTTGAAGCCAAAAGTAGTTCTTTTGTTGGGAGCAAACTTGTCATTTTGCTTGTGAGAAAATGGCATTCGATTTCATGTGGAGTTCACTGCCAAGCTAAGGGCACTGTTGCATAGCTGACGCCTGACCTCCATGTGGAGTGGGTCAAAAGGGCAAATAACGCTTGAAATGAAAGATGTTCTTCCTTGGAGAAAATGTGGTGTTATGGTCACAGCAACACATTACTACGATAGCAGAAAAGCAAAAAACATCTACGGCCTCAATTTTGCAGGTTTTTTTTCAATTTTTCCGAACCTGATGCTCTCATATTTTGTGGTTTTGGAGTATCACTATCCTTGCTAACAGCACTGTCTTGTACCTGGCACGTCTCCAGTGCAGTGATCCCCTTCCTGAGGCGGTCGGCCACAGCTTTAGGGATCATGGCGTACAGCAAAGAATCCCCTCTCTTCTTCTCTTCGTCCAGCTTCTTGATGATTTCCTGCAGCTGCGCATATTTTTGTTGCTCCTAGAGGATCAGAAACGGGACACAAGAGTCTACAGTTACAGTCTCACCTCTCTTAAAGCTCAAAAATCCCTCTTTGCCTTCTCTAATCCTCTTAATCCACATCTCTCCTGCATGACTGAAGAGGATTTAATGGATGAAATCAATAGGGGGGCACAGCTTTCACCTGGGCTCACCTGGTCAGGCTGTTTCATGGAGAGAACTGGCAGTTCTTACATTTTATGCGCTAAGTACATCATATAGGATGACTTCTGGTTTTAGTCATAGAAGTCTTATAACTGTACATTTTGTAGAGCGACATGAACCACCTTAAACTGCCCCTTTGGTCTGTGATTTTGTAAAATGTAATTCCCCCAGTTGAACACAACTCTGCTTTGTTAGCACAATACTCTATCTCTGCAGACTAAGGAGTCAGTCTTCACCTGATCAAGGGCCAGCTGCAGCTCAGCCGATTGTTGTGTACCGGCCAAAATCAGCTCTCTGCTGGAGTCATGCAGGTTCAGATCATTCACGTACACACCCATCTTTATCATGTCCTCCACTGTCTCTATACTGCAAGAATAAAGAGAAGAAATCAAGTAAATATAGTGTAAAAGGAAAGAAAAGCAAGGGAATCTTACTTAATTCACTAAATTAGCATACCTGTAAATAAATCCAATCTCCAAAATGTGTTATTATTATTTAGGGGAAATTGAAGTGGAACAATAGTATTGTATAAATATGGAGTCAAGGCAGACGTCAGATATGAAGGCAGTGACAGAATGTATTTTTCTGCAATGGGAATAAATGGAAAAAAGTGACCTGAGTTTTCAGTGCTACATACAGAGAGGCTAACACACTGATCTACTTCTATAGAGCACTGTGATGTCTTGAAATTTGTTTTGAATTTCCTTAAATTCTAAATAAATAAAGGCCAGTATTAAAAAAATCTGGAATAGTTCTGGGTTGTTATCTGTACAAAACAACTGAAGGCTGACCTGTACTGTAGTGGCTCACATGGTAGATTCAGCATAATCCACCAATCTATTTCTATTTCATCAGTACAATAACATACATACTGTTTTCTGTGTATAAATTAATACATCAAAAAAAGGACACAAAAGGGACTCACAGTCAGACCCAGTCTGAAATAGACCTGTGGATAATTAGACCAAATCCAAAAAGCAGTTCACCCCCACTGATCCAAACAGAGAGAGAATACCAACACTGGCACTGGCTGACTATCACGCAACACAAGATAAGCTTTTACTCTTATACACATTAACATACAGACCCAATACTTGCAGCAATAAAACTGGACCATACCCAACCTTATTAGCGTGAATATACTATAAGTATATAAGTATGGCCCTGGCCTGGAGTCGGGTCCCGGTTTCTAGGAACCAAGTACACCTGTGAAGACCTCTTCTGAGTCAACAAAGTCAGTCTGTAGGTTGTGGTCTTACATGGGTGTCCCCAGGAAGATGAGGGAGTCCCACTGGGGGACATACTTCATCTGGCCCTTCAGGTGGAGAGGTTTCTTTGGAGGTTCCCGCATGTCCTCAAAGATGGTCTCACTACACTTTCCTGAGAAGAACCACGAGAGACAGGTCAACAGGATTGTGGCTATTAAAATATACCAGCAAGAGGTGAAAATAGATTTTTAGGATTGAAATATTAAATGTTGTTAGTGGTTAAATGTCCAACACGTTCTCATCCCAGGTTGTCACATACCGACACTCCTTCAGCATTTGTATGAGACACCTTTTCATTTATAATTCAACGTTGTAAAATGGTTGCCGTTCAGTGAGGTTTAGGCAACAATAGTACTTAGTTAGGTTTAGGAAAAGAAAGAAAGAAGATATATAGAACTAAGTTACATGACTTGCAAGTCACGTTGCCATAACTGTGGCAGCAAATTACATGACTCAAGACACCTATGTTACGTTATGTAATTAAAACTTTAAATAAGCCTAAATCAATGTTGACTTTTGGTTTCACATGGGACATGGGACAAGTCCTGTGTTTGTTTAAAGCCCTGACAAAGCTCTAGTGGTCAAAACATGTTGGCTTTTTTAATGAATTGGCTATCACAATAAAGGCTCTTTTAATATATTCCTTCCTCATTGCTATTTTTTTAAGTTCCTGGATTGCCTCTGTTTGTTCGACCCATCCAGCCGTCCCGACCACCACTGTGCTCGGACTTGCTTATTACAGTACATGACCTGACCAGGATGGGTTACATTGGAATTACATGAAAACCTAGTGTGTCTCACACAGACACAAAAAGGTACCTTATGCATCTGTATGAGACGCCAAAACATTGGTATTTGATGGAATGAGAACTGCCTGAACAGACACAAGATAGAACAGTAAGATGAATGTTTTCAGAAGAGCAAACAAACAGTTAACAGTCAGTTAATAAGTCAGTTAGTAAAATGTTCTGACCGGTGACAGTCTGGAAGGCCAGCAGTTCAATATCTTCCCCTCCAGAGTTGGCAGAGCTGTTGTACTGGGTGAGAGCGCTGCTGTACTCTTGGTCTGTGCCCTTCATCTCCTCCACTGCCTTCGGCTCTGATGGAGGGAGAGCAGCAGAAACAGTGAGAGGATGGATGACTGACTGAACCAGGGTGTGAGTGAAGCAACTGAGTTAACGAGGGCATAAGTGTGTGAAGTGTGTGCGATGAATTCCAATCACACTGTCAGGCAGTAGCGAAATGGCAGTGCTCAACAAAAGGGATATATTACAAATTCATCACCTTGTTATAAGTTTGGTTCTAGTGCGTCGTTGACGGTTATGTTCTCATTTATGCCCATTATGTTTTGCAACAAATGAATCTCTTTGTTTTATTTCTTTTCATCCTCTTTTATTCTGACAAGATATTTTTGAGTAGTATTCACCAGGCTGCTCGCTACTTAGTTTGCATCCTTGTTTCATTGACATGCAAAACATATTACTCTTTACAGTATATTTTTAAATATAGTTATGTGTGCTTTGACGATAAAGTGCACTTAACTTTGTAGTTAAATGAACAATAGTGGTTTGGCCCTTCAATCACTTTGATATTCATTTCTGCCTGAATATATTATAAATATTTTACTCTGGCCAGATACAATCACCTTGGCAGAAAATGAGGGCGTGAAATGAGGGGATGGACATTTTGTGATCCCATCCATTTGAAATGAACCTTTTTTATACATTATACATTTGAAATGAATTAAATGATTGAAATGGAAAGACTGGTACCTCTTTCTTCTTCCCTCTTGGCTTTCTCACTCTCTTCCTTTTCCTCTGGCTCCTCTTTGCTCAGTTTGGGGATGTTGACCTTTTGCTTGCTCTCCACCACCGCTTTAGACAACAGCTCAAACACATTGTTCAAATGGGTGTAGATCTGACGAGTCAGCAGAAAGATTTTTGTGGCTTAGTATGTCAGCAAGGCAGCGACTTAAGTGACATGAGAAATGTAATATTTACTAATATAAAAATTGGACTTTCCAAACTCACATTATCCCAACTGAACTCCAGCATGGGTCTGACCAGAGTGAACTCCTCGTTGACCTTCTTGCCCTGGAGATCGGAGAAGACCTCTTTGAGGCCGTCGCCGATGCGGTACATGGTCATGTCCCGGCGGAAGATGACGCTGAAGGGGAACATGTCAAAAAAGATACCTCGCTTCATTGGCAGCTTCTCGTAGCTCGGTGCTGTTTTCTGCTGGGGCATGCGGTGTTTGAAGGCGGCGTTGTCAAAGTTCATCTTATAAACCTGAACGAGCAGAGAGAAGTTAATACGTTCTTCAAAAAAGTATGCCTTATTAGACAATGTCACCTTTTATTTTCTATACAGTTGTCAGTTTATTAGGTCAGCCTAGCTAAAACTAATGCAATCTAATACAACAGTCCTGAAATAAAACCTACCCTCATATAGGTTATAATGCATTTTCTTTGTTGAAACCGTTTTAAAGAGGTGCCAAAGTAGCAGTATAACTTTTTCTTGTGAGAAAAGTTAGCTGTAACAATCCATTTTAATGATAATGTACTGTCAAAAGTTTCCTTTAAACATAATGTAACAAGTGCATAGAGAAGATAAATGAGACAGTCAAAGTCATGTTCTGCCCTTATGGGCAAATTGAAAATGACTTTTTCCAGAAAGAAAGAAAGAAAGAAAGAAAGAAAGAAGAAAAAGGATGTAATGGATGTAATTATGCATTTGGACTTTTAAGAGATTTCAAAAGCTCAAATTTATGAAAATACTTCATAAAATTATTGATTTTGGTTTATTTAACTGCTGCTAAGGAAAAAATATCCCAAACTATCACAAAAATATTTACACTAACTTCTTTCAAAGATTTAATAGAGTTCCAGAACTGATGGATTATAATGGAAGAACCCCTAATCAGTGACTTTCTCACCTTCTCTAAGCCTTCAGATTTAATGTGCCATAATTTGTCACCTTATTTCCAATATATAAAACATTATCAAATGGTTATTAACATCAATTAGGTTATTAGCTACATCTTATTAACTAAGCCTTATTAAAAAGTGATGCCAACAGAAATAAATGGATACCACTGGGCGTTATCAGTTACTGTATGATAATAAGTGCAACTTGGGGTTCACTGGGAAGTGAAGGACTTGTTGGCTGTTTCAGGAATCAAAACAGCAACTTTCTGCTTATGGGACCAACTCTAATACAACAGAGGTGACATTGATGTTACCTGATGCTGGATAGCATGAGAACAGGTATACAAGGTTGCACATTTCAGATTTGTTCTGCTGTGAATTATGAGTTTACCCAGAGTCCCATCCCAATAAACACTTATCTCCATCCAATAAACACTTGCTGTCTGAGTGTAAACAACAACTGTGCCTGCCGTCTCATTGAAGGTGATGGAATCATTTCCATACTGATAGAACTGCCACAGGGTCAAGGTCAAACGCTCGACAGTTCGACTGATACCTGACCTAAGCCCGGTTACGTACCACATACGTCATTTTCTCGGTTTCCTCTTTAGACAGGATTTCCACCTCGATATCGGTGTTGTAGAATTGCCGTCCCACTTGAGAGAGCTGTCCTGCAGGAGCCAATTACACACACTGGTTGGTCATGGATGTGTAGGTAGTAGAGGTCCATTTTTTGCTTAGAAGTGATTTAGTGAAAATGTGCTTGTGTAAACGGAATTTCAGAACAAACTGAAGAGTAAGAGTCACATTTATCAATGACTTTGCCTGGATAGATGAACATTGCCTGATGGCGTGACGACTGCTTTGTCCCCGTGAACCAAGTCATTTATTTTACTTTTCAACACAGCATACTGTACATAAAGCAAACACTTTCAGTTATCAATCTTTACTAAAGAGGAAATAAATTTAAGAGAAAATTGGGAGGAATACGATGACCCCCCCCCCATAAAAAAATATTAGCAAACTCTTGCATTATTGATGTTTTGGATCTGAAGTTGACCTGTTATTTAATATTCTCATTTAAAACAATTGAATCCAAATATGATCAGCTACTCAAAACCTACAGTTTATTAAGGTCTTGTAGGTTTTAGTCTGTTTACCACAATTTACATTTAATTTGCATTACCATTTTGGAAAGCACTCTCCAGTGCTCCAAATGACTTTTCCAACCTTCCAACTGGTTTCAGTTCAGTTCACTACAGGATGAAAATTAATGTGCCAAGACTTGGATACATATTATCCATCACAGTGAACATTAAAGTTAAATGATCCTTTTATGGTAATGCAGCTGAAAGTGCAGATCGGTTTATCCATAGTGCATTACGTTTTGCAGGAAAAGTTTGACTTTTGCATTGAAATAAATGTACATCTGTGGCTCCCTGGAAGGTAGGAAAATATATTAAAACATCCAAAACGCTAGCCAAATATGTGACAAATTATTCCAAATAATTCTACTCTTCTGTGCTCTGACACTCTGAGGTCTGGGGTTGGGGATCAAACCCAGTTTCCTGTCACTGTGGTAAACTGTGTAACCCCCAGTGTTTCCCCCGCTGTGCTTCTCGTTACCTTTGACAAACTGAGTGAAGCCCTTGCGGGTGCTGCGGTAGTGCAGGGTGAGACTTGTCTCGCACTCCTCCTCCACGCAGAAGCTTGGTGGCTGCACCTTGGGGAAGGAGAAGCGAAAGTACTCGTGCAGGTTGTCCAGCTCATTGATGAAGTCGCGCACATTTCGCCCCAACACCTAGGAAACATGGAAAATGAAGATATTCAAATTCAAACAAAAACTGTGGTTTATATAATGAATAATATGGTGTTATAAAGGTATTTTTCATATTGTCAGAATACTGGGTAGTTATAATGTATTTTAATGTCACTTTCAGCCCCACTACAGATACAGATACTGTACTGTATATACAGTAATGTATTTCCATTTGAATTTTATCTTCTTGTTTTATGTTTAATGGATAAGACCTTTGTTGACCATTAGGGAATTTCATTGGGATAAATGTTTTCAAGGTGATGCTTTTTACCTTCTCTGTTCAGCTATATTTAGGTATCACCACGATAACTACCCCATTCTTATTCCATTTATTTGGAAATGTGAAAAATACTGTGTGTTAATGTGTGTGTGTTGGGTGATTTATTCTTGGAAAAACCCTAAAGTACATCAGTCAGTGATGGAGAGTAGAAAGGAAGACATTTCTTTATTGCTGCTGTAAGCTAAAAGACAACCAAGGGGAGGTTGTGGAGGGTTTACTATATCACCTTAAGGATCCGCTCATATCCGTAGTTTCCAATCCTCTTGACCATATAGACCCCGAAGGCGTACATCAGCTCATCATGGGTCTTTCCCAGAACCTCGCCTGCAGCCTTTGCCAACCGCAGGATCAGGTTGTCACTGTAAAGACGGAGGAAAGTTATTAATTCATGTTTGTTTTGAGTTATTTTTGCTTTGCTGCTATTAGTCCCAATGAGATTTTAAAATCAGCTTTTCATTAGAGACATTACCAAAAAGAAGCAACCATGTAAAAAACCTGAATAATTTCAGTCAATCAAAATCAAATCCAGGGGTGAGACAACAGCATAGGGTCTCTAAACAGTCAGAACAGTAATTGATAAAGTAAAGCTTTACATAATTAAATTGCTCTTCTCTGTACAGCTGTTTATGACAGTGTGTCCATCTTGTTTAAGTGCATCGTTATAGTTGAACACAAGTTTGTCTAACCAAATAATAAATATTTCCTGGATGCGAATGGCAGGAATTCTTTTTTAAGGTCTCAAAGTGCTGCCCTTGAATTGAGCATTGGTCTAAGCATTGTGAGGTTCCTGTAATATTATACTTGTGTGCTGTGACAGTTCTAAAAATGTGAGTCTTGTCAGAATGTTGTTTGCTGAAAACCAAGACATTGCACAGGTTGGTCCCAGAACTGTGCAGTCACCACAGTAAAATGGGGAAACGTGATTTACCAAAACAACAACCTACTTGTACATTTGATGTCTGACAAACTTGAGGTGGGGTATCTCTGCTCGGTTCTCGATCAGCCTCCACACATCCTCTCCATAGGATTCATTAATGTAATCGTTCACTGCTTCCAAATACAGGCCGTACATCTTCAGGGGGTTGGAAACCTCCAGACTGAAGCCGAATTAACTGCTTAGCTGAGAAGAGACAAGGGGAAGAAATTGCATATCCAAACAAATGAAAGGTTGAAGTCATCTTTATTAGGGTCCGCAGTTTATAATGGCACTGTTGAGAAAATATCTTAAAATCTGTTCTTCCTTGAAAGGAGAGACCTTTGGATCTGTCTCCTCGTGAGATCAAAATAAGACATTAGCTGTTTATCGCATATACTATTCTGTTCACCTACATGCATCGAAGGAAATGAGGAAAAATGCTATTACCTGTCTCACAAAAAAACCTCATGAAACCTCAGATAACTTCCTCAGACACCAGCTACATCTAAGAAAAGAGAAAATATTCTCAATAAGCTGCTTGGTTCTACACTTACTGTGAAATTAGACCACTGTGGCAAATACAAGCTACTGAAAAGATATCTCAAGGAAATCGAGTGATGCGTAATGCTCCTATCTCACCGGCTGACTACACTGAAACACATAAAATAAAACCAAAAAGGTAAAACAAAAACAAAAAACAAGCAAAGGATGTAAAGGTGAAAAGAGAAGCCCCCTTACCTGCAGTCCCTCAATACTGTATAATCCTGAGCTCCAACTGTGCCAGCCAACGCCACAGCATCGCTCCCTGCTGAGAGTTTCCACCTGCAGCTGACATGTGGCTCTCCCCTGACACTTGCCTGTCAGGTCAATAGGTGACCTGGCCAAAATAGCAGCACCAAGGCATGTTTGTGGCAGGTAGCAAAGAAAAGGCTGAATTCTGCGTTTTTCAGACTCTCGGCTGCGTGCATTGGCAAACACACTGGGTCTAATTTGTAAGGTATTTGTATGGAGATGAAGTCTGTGGGTGGCTGTTATTGTATACGGGAATCCTTTAAAAAAAGACATTTAGTTTCTGTTATGTAAACCGGAGCGCACAATGTGAGGCTCATTATCCAAATTTAGCCTGTACTTTCCAACAACTCATTAGGGCTACCAGGTTTCTTGGCTAATTACTCCAAATTTGCATAATTACAGTCAGGTGCACATTAAACTGACGGGCATTGTGTTGAGATTGGCGTTTGAAAGGTTTTGTATTGTTTGTTGCTTTGTGTAATGAAGCTGAATAAGTCATTTCAAAACATCCAGGCCTCCTGTTAAGGCTGCTTTTATCTGATGAAGGTTGAAATGTGACAAACATTTGTGTGTTGACTCCTATCATGATGTCTGTTTTGACCTGCAGAAACGACTTTTGCATTTGAAAAGAACCTTTTCTCATCATAAAATGAGGCGTATATGATAGAGCTGAAGCTTTATTAAACAACTGTCAAGCAGTGCGGCTGCTTCGCGGCGTCTAAGTGAGGTGACACATACAGAGCATCTGCAGATTCAAGTCTCACCATTCTTCTCACCATGTCCACTAGGGGGCACTGTTACAACAGCCTTGAGTTATTACTGCTTTATCCAGTTCTTCCGCTGGAGGAAATCAGCTTGAAAATTAGAAGAAATGTGTGACTCTGGCCTTTTGATAAGTCCAGACGAGGCAGGCATTCTGTTATTTTATGACATTTGTGGCCTTTTATATCTGTGCTGTTGCAAAATATACAAGCCTGTTTCAAAACATAATTTTCCTCCATAAACAGACCACATTTGGTCATATAATAACTCGACTTTGACTTTTTTTCATATTTAAATTCTGACCTGGAAGGTTAGGAGGCTCACACCTATCATGTAGAGGTCTAATTAAGAAAACACTCAGAGCCAGAATACATTTTTTTCCAGCTACCACTTTCCTCCACTCCACTAGGAAACCAAAGGTGTGCTGACAGCTAGCCTGTAGTACCCGCTCTGAGTGATAATGAGCCGTTCTCTGTTCCATTTCTTGTGTGGCTTTTGGCTTCTTTTTCCCCCTCTATTTCCAGCGTTCCCCTATTTGCCAGGTGCTGCTGTCTTTAATGGCCTCCGGTGTGACTGTGCCACACGTCGGCCCTGGGAGGTCCGTCGCTGCCTCTTAGCCAGGGAACAGAGGGAGATAACAATGTGCTGATGGTGCCAACCGCAACTCCACACAGATGCCGCTGGTGCTTTCATTAAAGACGACATGACTCATCTTCTTTCGCTCCGCCAATATTACACCCTGCTTTCCTTCCTTCCCACAAGGAGAGAGGTGCCGCTGTTTCAAAAGGTGTCCATTCATGTCATTTTTCAAACGCTAACAGGGAGCCAAGGAACACCTCCCTCCCATTGTTTGATGTGAACAACACAAACACACACAGGTACACACAAACCGACACACAGCCCTGTATTCTTCCACCACACATACAGTCTACATGTCTTTTTCTCTCTTACTCGTATGTTTCCTTTCTGTCCCTGCTTGTTATCTGTTAAAGGAGTTATCAGGCTCAGCCAGCCTAACGGAAGGATGATCCAATCTCTGGGGAGTATCAGGGTCAGCGAAGGAAACCATGCATAGTCAGACCTATTCAGCAGCTCCGGCAAGAAGTGAAGGGTTGATATCATTTTTATATTGTCAAAGCAGGAAGAGAGCTCACCATTCAAACGTGGGACATTGATTAAAGCATCAGCACGAAGCACAAACAGGTTATTGGAGCATTTCCACTGAGTCAGACCGCAATGTTATTGGGTGACAAACTTACACCATAAACTGCTTCTTATTGTTTACAACCAGCGGCCCCTCCAGATAAAATTGTAAATCCCTTCGGTGTAGCAGGACTGTGACTGCACAAAAGCTACAGGGATGAAATGTAGGATGTGGCAAAATGGAAATGTGCCTCTGCGGAGGAGCGGTAACTGTTGTGACCCCTTGGTTGAATACCTAATAGGAATCTATCTGTATCCTAGCCTCCTATCTCTCAATCCCCCCCGCCCACTGCAAAAGAATGTGCTATATTTCTCAAGCACAATCCCATGATACCACCCTCTTATTGGTTTTACTATAGACACAGCAGGAGCTGGGCTATAATGCTACGCTAGCTGAATGCTAACGATGTCGGGGCATCTTATTGTGGGTTTATGCAGCAACCGAGGGCCTCTCTCTCTCATTGTATTTATAGCTCCTTTGTGAGTTCTTCCCCTTCCCCTGCCTCCCCCTGCTTCCTCCCTCTCTGTTTCTTCTCAGTTTCACCTGTCAGCATCCACATCTTTCCCCACTGTATTCTTTACTCCACCTGCTACTTTTCTCTTTACGCAGACCTGCTCTCAATCTCCCGTAATGTCGGCTCTCTCCAGCCTTCCATCATTATTCAATGCACCATTTTGGCGATATCAGTCCGGATTATTGTTATGGTTCGTCACATGCCCGTACAGCTGTGTCCTCCCTCCCTGTCTCTCTCTGCATTAGCATTAATTGAATCTTCCACCACCGTTTAAAAATGATGTGATATGGGGTCGTCCTCTGTTACTCCTTTTGCATTGATTTCTATGTGGCTTAGTGCGGTGGAGCTAATAGCACCTGACCAAAAGCTGCTCACATTCACTCTGTCTCTCTACAGGCCCTCTCAACTGCAGCAGATGGAAATACAGTGCTCTTGGAGGTGTAAAAATAGTGTCAAATCCTAACAAAGGCAATTCTAGAACGAGAGATAGGAAAAAGGTAGAAGGGGGGGTTGCACGCTGTTTGGAAAAGAAAGGAAATTCAGGGTTCCACAGTCTGAATATAAATATTCCATTAACTTCAGCCGGCTCCATAACGGCATGGCAGTGCGGTTATGCATTCAGTGCCTGGAATTTGAAATGAAATTATGGTTGAGGTGGAGAGGGAGGTAGTGGTGGTGAAATAGCCGTTTCCTTTCTTCCAATTTTCTCCTCTTCCCTCTTTCGCCCCTTCGCCTTATCACGGGTGACACTAATCCAATTTCAGCTCTGCTTGTGACAGCTCTAACGTGGTTTTGTGTACCGATTCCACCCCCCGTGTGGACCCACACACACAAACGCACAAGTGATGCACGGATACTCCAAAAAGGTCACATACAGTATCCAGACAGATACAGAATGTTCACACGTGCGCCCACGCATGTTCATTTGTCCAAACATGCACGGCGCCTGCACCTATCCATGCACACAATACAATTATTATACAAACATTCTTCCTGTTATTTCCCAACACCAGCTGACAAATAATACATTAGCTCTATGATCCGTGACTTTAAAGTCAAACCTCATCTGAATCCAAACGGATTCAATAGATCTGCTCTGCGCCGAGGGGATCCAGATTCTAGGGAGCTCAGAACCTAAAAGGTCAGTTCAGCCAAAAGAAACCAAAAAAAAAACTCTATCCAGCCATGCAGATACTTTGGGGTTTTCTTTGCTCAGGTTTTGATATCTTCATCACTCAAACCTCAGCCAACACCCCAACACAATGGAAAGGCTTTTTTTTTTTAAAGCAACGTATCTTTCCAGTGTAATCCACAGACTTCATGTAATTTATCAATGCTCATAACATCAGTAAATATACTCAAACCATCTGAATGGCTACATACTGCTAGGGGTAAATGGGAAACAGTTTAATTCTGTGTGGACTAACCCTTCAAACTCCATTATTGTATTGTATGTAAACTAAATGTTTACTTACAGCTGAAAGCTTTGGAAATAGCTTAGTAAGTGAACCTTGAGTTTAGAGAATTTTTATCCCCATACATGCGGGGTCAAGGTCAAGAATGAACCTCCATGATGACATTATTGTACCGTATCGTAGCATTAAGTATAATACCTTAGTTGAATTTTGTGAACTTTCCCATTATGAATGTGTTTGTTTGTGTACCTTCAGTATCTGCCTTAATCTGCCTTTACCAACAATTTATTGAACCTAAAATTCAAGATATTTTTATATTAAGATGACCGGACCTCTGGATGCACGAGTCTGTTCTTTTACTCCCAACACATCACATGGCTGTATTGCATTCAGTCTCTTGCCGTTGGTGGTGAAATTAGTCTCTGTGCACCTTCTGTGATGGATTTCTTCCTGTTTGATTATTGAATGGCGCTGTAGAATTGTGAGATTAGAAATAAACCCTTGGCTCTTTGATTCTGAGTGACTCACACCAAAGCCTGACGTTTGCCATTGATGTTTTAGAAATTCTATTGTAGCGGCTGGAAATGAGAAAAACACAGCACCAAACAACAAAACTGGCCAGAAATGGAAGGTATAACCAAAAATAGTTCAATCAGGCCTCATGATCAAAGTTCAAAACATAGCATTAAACAATATTGTCACTCCCAAATTCACTGGTTTCAAAGGCACAATTTTTTTGTTGCTTTTACAGTTCTTTTACACATTAAAAGTAAAACAGGCTAATATCTTTAATGCTGAAAACCACAGAAATGCTTATTTTCCATCTACAATTCAAGCCTGATGACACTGTCTGCTGTTTATACAGATGCCTAAAACCTATGTTCAAAGACCTATGTTCAAGTTAATGTGACAAGGACCTCTAGTGACTGTGTGAATTATGACTCTTGTTTGTCAGTGACAAAAGCGTAAGCAGCGTGACGGTGTTATAGAGCCGCTAAGCCTTGTTGGGAGGAAGTCAGAATGGATGGATTAGTCAACAAAGCATGTGACTTGAGCATAGAAGACTGCTATTCATTTCTCATTGAATCGCTTATTGTTGTTTTAACTCCCACCAGTGGTGAAGGAGGTATCCTTTACATATAAATAAAAGTACTAATACCACACTGTGACTACTCCATTACAAGTAAGTTCCACATTCTAAACCTCTAAAAGTACAGAATTTAATCAACATTTATTTAAAGCATCAAAAGTCAGTGTTTTACTATCATATATGATGTTTTTGATTAATATTACTGCTGCATTAATGTGTATGTTACATTTTACTTCTGTAGATGTTTAAGATTGTGCTAATTTTAACTACATATTGTTGCATAGTTTAACTTAAAGAAACACTAGACTTGGTGAGGTTTATTTTTTTCTATCCACCTTAAGTGAAGTTACAATGTTAAGATTTGTGAGGTAATATTACGGCTTTTGTCTGTGGTGGCTGGCCGTGAGCAATAGCGATATTAGGCCTGGTTCTGGTTAAACAAACAACCTCTGTTGGGATCATTTTCATAATGTTGTCACTTAATAACAGTTTGAGCCTGTCGACCAAACCAGAGTTGATGATTGAGTTGAAGACTGTGGAAAGACCAACAAAGACAGTTTTGGTTATTTAGTTTCTACCCAATTTTAAGTGTGTTTTACAATGACCTGCAAGGTAAAATGACTGGTTTTGTCAATGGAGTCTGGTCAGCTGAAGTGCATTCTTATCTAACCTTAAGGAAACAGGAAAAGTTTCTCAACCTATAAAGGCACACTTAAGCCATCAGTTTATGATTATGCATTATTTCTAATGGCCAGCAGGGGGCAGCTCCATGGGCTGCAAAAAAGAAGTCCCTATTCTCACTTGATTTATTACCTTAGTAAACAATTTCCTAATGAGTTTATGGTCTCAAAAGTCTTCTTCCATACAGCATTATGTTCAATTTATAAATTAGGATCCCATTTAAAGTAAAATAAACTATAAAGCATTCTTTGTGGCGTGGCTACCTTGTGATGGACAAGTCATTCTCAGTGAGTCAGATCAAACTGTCCAACTAAGCAGTGCTGTTTTTGTAATTTAGTCTGGAGGGAATGGTGCATATACCTGTTGTTTTACATATTCAAAGAGTGACAGATTGTGCCTTTAACAAGGTTTTTCAGTGGATTTTTGAAACAATGCATTGATGGCTACCTGATGAACAATGTTTTCAGGCACTATATCACCTAAATTAAAGTTGCCAAGAAAGCATTTTCTTTCCAACCAAGGCATTAGTTAAATGTGTTTATTGCCAGCGTAACTCAAGGCTGCTAACAGATGCTACAGCTCTGTGTTGATTTCACACCTTGATCGTGTTATTAGCAAGCAGGAGACATTGCGTCACTGCAGTCGGGTGGGTGAACTGAGGACACTGAGGGCGATCGCATAAGTGATAAATGAATTGTAATAATGGCTATCAGTACTTTATTCATTTGTTCCTTTTATCTGTTTTCTGTCTGTGGGTTTTGGCAATAACTGGCTTTTTATATGTAATTTACTGATCTGCCATCTGCCCACACTGATTTTTATGGGCCAAACAGCCCACACTGGACTGAATGAAACCAAACAGCAGATAATTGTGCCCATTGTTAGTAATGCTGGCAACAACTCTGTTTTGATTTTATGCTAAACTCAGGATGTTACTTTGCATGTAATTTCATAAATGACAACCATTTGGCACCTTACATGAGATGATTCTTATAAATCAGTTCACAACCTTGATTTGCAAATTCCC